CCCCCCCCCCCGGCAAGAAAAGCCAGACACCCCTCCATGCATTCATCTACCCCCCCTCACATAAGATAATACATGCAAGTTCATGGCTACTGTAGACAACGTTCTTGTTGCTCTGTGTTGCGTTGTTAATGAGTGAAACACACCGGAGTNGTCTCATCTGCAATGCGAGTGTGGCTAATTTAGGAGCGGCATTTCAAAACAGTGCACAAAAGCTACGAGACAGAATTCCCTCCTAATTCTGCCCTACGCTCCCAAAGGGGGAGGGACCTGAAAGGACAGCTAAATGCACAGCAGTCCATTTTCACCAGGCCCAACAACAAGAGCAAGGCTGCTACCATAGCATCTTATCGTGTCAGTCACGTTCTTGCGAAACACGGCAAAGTTGTGAAAGAAGCATTCCTGGAAGCTGCCGACGCGCTTTTTGGGGACAGTAAAAATAACAGTAGCATTTCAACAGGTTTTTGATATAATACAAACTCAAGTTAGATACCGTTATTAATCAGCTGTAAGTTTTAGTTTGTTTGAATTTATTCATTATAATTATTGTACAAAATGGTATAGGAATGCAAACATTACGATTTGTTCTGTTTAAATGGATTATAGCCTATTATCAATTCAGCTTAAGAAAATGTTGCTTGCATCCTATTTTAAATGCATTTCTTTTATACTCTAATAAAATGCAACAAAAAATGGGTTTGATTCTATTAATTTTGTCCTTTTTATTGCACTTTGGCAGCAGATTCCTGTGTAGCTTCAGATCTGAGTTGTCTTATTACNACCAATTACAGGGACATTCTCCCTGGAGTAACCGAGGGCTAAGTGCCTTACTCAAGGGCACACTAGTAGTGGTGTTCCAGGCAGGATTTGAACTCGCAACCTTCCGATCATCAGCCCACCTCACTATCCATTAGACCACCAAAAAAAAAAAAAAGAATAATAATATATATATATTTTTTTTTTTATGAGATCCATTTGTGGTGGACGATATTTAATTGTGGCGGCCCTCCACATATAAATCAATGTATGGGAAACACTGGATTAATAGTTTTGTAACTGTAGTTTTGATCTGCTTAAACACTTTCCTAATATGTTGTCCATGATTGACAATATTAGTTTGTTAACAGGTTCAATTGTTGAAAGGATACCCACACAGACTTTTTAGCATGATTTTATTTTAACGCTGGGTATCTGCGAGACATGCTGTCCATGTCTGATAAGGTGGATGTTCCTCCCTTAACTTGGCAAGAGCAAAGCTGACGGGAAAACATGACATAGATTCAACTAAAACTGAAACCTATTTCAGTGTTGGTGATCCTAATTTGTATGTCTTATTTTTTACTTACTGTATATCCACCAAATCCACAGTGTTACCTTCTATCTTACATATGCTATAGAAGATCTTTATGGTGAAATCAACACCACAGTGTAAGTAGTAAGTGTGTCACAGAGTTACTGACCAAACTGAGGTGCGGTGCTGTAGCCTTGCTGAGGGAAGGCCTGAGGTGCAGCGAAGCCGCCTGCCGGGGTCGTGACCAGGAATCCGTTGAAAGGTGACGGAGGATGTGTGGGGTGACCGCGGCTTGCTGTCAGCTGAGGTGCATAGCCACCTGCTCCAACACAGAACAGATCTATTTTACAGAAATGTTTTAGATAAATGTTGGTTTCATATATTGAAATAAGTACAATAACTGTAATCACGACAATAACTAACTGCCAACATGTATGGGTGTAAGTTTTGAACAGCTCAAAGGTAGGGTAGGTAAAAATGGAGAAACCAGCTCGAGTGCGCTAGAATTTGAAAGTACGCAGCCGAAAAAAATCTGCCCCTTCCTTCAGACTTCCTTACAGAGCCCCTCCTCCAACACAAACCAACGCACACATGACTAATGAGGGCACGAGATAAGTTTGTGCACGAGATGGAAGGCTGGCCGGGCCGGCTCAGATGATTGGTCGTGCTTTTTACAGCGCTACGGCTTCCACAGATGACATTTTTTTATGGATTTATTGTCAAAGCATTTAATGTATTCATCGCTATCGGGATGTTAAGAGCATTCCATGGAATATAACAAAAAGTGTTTCTGAAGTGAGTTACCTACCCCACCTTTAACAAGAGAAATAACTGGTTTAAGAAAGGGAATTTGCAGAAAACAGTCTACAGCTGAATAAAACTGAAATATCTTCTGAGGGTAAACACCACAGTGAGCATTGTGGGTAGAACTGGAGGTAGTGATATGAAACCGAGCCTGACCAATAGCAGAGGGAGGCTGGAAACTATTCAAGGCTGCCATCTGTCTCAAGCAGCAAATTATCAGCAGCCTCAGCCATTGTGAATCAGTGATAACACGTGCTGTTAACGGTCATCAGACTACTGGCCGCACAGAGAGCAGGCTCTTTTCTCTGACACAGACGTTTCAAGATAGGCACGACATCTATCTGCAGTTTGATCTATTCACAGTTATGCGGCATACAGAAAGGCCAGTGACCATAAATACTTTTGTTTGACGTCTCCTGTTTTAGACAACATTTTGATATGAAAGAAAAAATCATCTAGATAATAGCAAATAATGTTACGCGCAATATCAATACTTTGGAATGTGAAAAATATTCAAATATTCTAATTACGAATAAAACATGAATATTGTAAAACCACACAACCAAATAATAACTACAATCGACTCTGGATCAGTTAAGAAAAATGTAATATCATACAATAGGTCAATAACCTTTAGAGGCCTACAAACAGAAAACCAACCAATTTTCTAAAATGTATTTTTGCTGTAAAGTGGAGACGAACACTTACCTAAGGGTTGGCCAGTAGTCGACACCCACACTCCTTCAGGAAGAGAAAACAAAACGTTAGACTAGGACAATAATTGAAATATTAAATGTTCAATGATACAGTTTATCAATTCAACAGTGTTGAAGCAGCAGGTTCAACAGCTCTCGGACCTGCTCCCACTCACCCTGCGCCCCGTAAGGCTGCTGCCAGCCTGGGGCAGGCTGTGCTGTCCACCCATTGGCTGTGCTCAGGATGCCCCGGGGCACCCACTGGCCAGGGCCGACCTGGCCAGGAGCTTTGCTGTCACGAGGTTCAGCCTTCTTTACTTCCACCTGGACAAAGGACAAGGAGGACACATTTAGCAACACCAGTATAAGGTCCATAAAGTCCCTCGCCTAGACAGTCCTAACCTACCACTGATTATACATTTTTACATTGGGCCAGTTTGAAATCTTTCGCTTTATCTTTATTATTAATATTGGGCTACTATGGTAAATAATATTACTGTTTAGCCAGTACAGCTGTGCAGCTATGTGTCTCAGGTACTATGTATCAAGCAAGAATTTTACAGTAGCCAGAATCATAGTGCAAACACAGTAAATGTTACACATCGTTTTAAATGAATCATCTCCAGATCACAGCATCTTAAAATGTACCTGAGAAACATACATTTATTTTGTATTCCAATAAATAGCCCCTAGGACATCTAATGGAAGGTCATGACTTACCTTTCTCTGGCTAATGCTTACAAAGAATCTCAAATGTATTTTATTTGGAATAAGTTTTAGGGGGGAAATGAAGGTAGAGAGAAATTTGTATCTGAGTTCTCACAGAATAAATAAAGGTAAACATGCAGATAGAACAAATAAACAGTATTTTCTGTCAATATATACAATGAATCTTCATACTGTATCGAAGGTTGTTTTCAATTAAGTGACTGATCGAATTGGACCTGAATGTCAAACTGCTGCCGGAGGTGACTTTTTTTATATGTAAAGGTTTCAATCCTCTGTTTCTAATCGTTCATTTATTTTTGATAGGCCAATTACTGTTTGGGAATCAACGCCTTATACCATAAATGTATTAACATATGCCAAGTGACTTTATCCATCCGCTGTAATTCTTAAATCTGACCTTTATGTATTGCTAATATCTATCGCTGTACTAGTAAATGACACAAGTCAAGTCTAAATATATTGCCCCAAAAACAAAAAATGTCCTTCCTGTAACTAGGCAAAGCTACCAGCAGTTAACCAGAGCAAAGAGACAGGCTGAGACTAAGGGGGGGCCAACCAGAAATAGACTGAGGGTTTGAGTTATTGGGGTCACCTTGCAGAAAGGAAACAAATCACACATTCCTCCCGCTTTAAGGTGTTGCCACCTTCCCCAGCCTCCCCTCTTCCTTCTCTGTCGACCTAATTACATGCACATGTTTCCGGCAGCGGCCCGCCGCCGCCAGCAGCTACCTGAGCACTTTCTCCCGTGGGCATCACAGCGACGAGTGATGGATACCATGACTTCTGTGCAGTCCCCAACAGCAGACTTGGGATTTGTTCCACAGTTTGATGTGCTCCAATTTCTAATTTTGTAGCTCATATCTCCCAGCCTCCCTCAAGTCCCAGCATAAGGTAATGTCAAGTCAAGAACAATGGATTAAGGTAAGCCTCGATTCCTTCTGGAAACCAGGGCAAAGTCAAGGGGGGCGGGCTCCACTGGAGAGTACACAGGTAGGGCTGATTCTTTTACCTAGGAAATGGGATTTTTAGTGTATTAAGTGACATTTCAATTCAAATGTTTAGTGTTGTTTAAGATCATTAACCAAAATCCATCTTGAAATCAGTTCAGGAAAGTTTTTACACTTCTTTGTCTAAAAAGAAACAACCAAAAATATAATAGTACAAATGAAAATATTAAGCTTTCATTCAATAGTTTGTTTGGATTACACATAGTAGGGCTAGGATTGTTAGTGCTAATAGCAAACCAATGGATCAACTCCAACCAGGGACGTTAGTTGTAAGTTATTCCCTATCTCTCCGTCTTTCATTTCCCGTTATATATCTACATCCACTTTCAATCAAAAGCAAGAATGCCCCCAAATATACTTTAAAACATTGCTATTTCATTTAACAGAGATAATGTTAAGATCATCCAACAGAATCACAGGCTTCACTAACACAGAAATTCAAGAAGGAAACATTCACTGCACACACTATTCAGTGCAGGAATACCACCCCAACAAGCCCTTATCAAAAGTAAAACACGAACACTGCTTTAACATTGTAAATAAAAACCTTAAATAAATCCCAAGACATAAACAAAGGTCTTCTCAGTGTCAAGTATCGCAGACGGATTTACAACACGTATGCAGCCATGTAAAGATCAAGGACAGAAACAGGATACATGTGATGATACGACTGACTACACTGTGTTTGGCTTTGATCCTTTCCCTATGCCCACAAAAGCTGTGCTTTAATTAAAATCAGCTAATTACAGTAAATTGGGGAAAAGAGGGGTTTTTAGTAAATGGAAGCTTTAAAAGTGCCCCTAAGTGTCAGGACCAATCCTAGCATGTGTACCAAGTAGCACTTTATTTTTTTAATGGTTTGTTTTACTCAGCTGAGGTTCCAGGCATTAGGTGTTTGCCACTTGCAATAGAAGAATACAAGGACTGCCAGAGGGTTATGAGGGGTGCTTAAATATAACGACATAATGAATTGATAGTGTTTTCCCGGATGGACAGCTTACCTGACGCTGTCTGAGTTCTCTTTGCGCAGTAAACGCCATCCATCTGGTACACCCAGTGAGTAAAAACAAACATTTCAAAATGACTGATCCAAGCAGCGTTTTAGAGTAAATTGTCTTTTGTTATTTAGGGAAATTTAAGGATACAGTATGGAGATTCTTCAACTGAGGTCACTGAGTTGAGCTTTTTTTTTTACTTTTCGAAAAGAAAAAAAGAAAAAGAAAACATGTTGACATGTAAGTGACCTGCCAACAAAAGATCAGAAATCAAAAGAAACGGAACTGAATTGACCAATCCTTTAGGTGATTTATATTCATGCAAATCCTATGAGCTTTGAATTTTTATTTTGCTTATATTTTAAATATGAAAACAGAAAATAATGTGACTTTAATATTTGATGTACAATCTTATGCACTCAGGACATCCTAAAGGAGTGGTCGATTTAAACAAAGCCTTAGGCGACTATAAAAAACTAATATAAGAGCATTAGTATAAATGTATTGTGCCTATATAACCAATAGGTGTGAAGGTAGCAAATGTTTAGAGCCAAAACATATTATTATTGATAAAATAATAATAAGAAGAGTAAATTAATAGGTAGCCTTGTGATTTTAGGATGTGTAAAGGCTAACTTTGTGCTATAAGAGGCTGCAATCACTAATGGGAAGCCACTGGAAAGTAAAGAAAATCAAAAAACAGCATCATAATTCTCACTCTGTCGCCCAAGCCTCTGTTTGATCTTAAGGGTAAAATAAAACTACAACTACACACTTTTTTGCCCATGATGTCGTGAAAATGCATGTTGACAGCCTGGTCCACTGATTGTTCGGCCTCGAAAGTAATAAATCCAAAACCTAGCCAACGACCAAGAGTGAATCAAGGTAGCAGGGGGGTTGTGACAACACAAGATGAAGAACAGTATTGGGCTTCAGCAGAGTGAGGATCCGTCAAGACTGAGCAAGACGCTCCTGGGGTTCGGATGATGTCGCAGAACAAAGATCCAACACTAAAGCCTGGGGGATCGGAGGAAACTTTGCTCTTTACTGTGCAAAAATGTGAAATATTTTGTCAAGATGACAATACAGGACTGCTTAACTGCTAAACATGAAGAATGACGAGTGCAGCATTTGACTTTGTGTGAAATGTCACAAAAACATAAATTAAGTCCTTTTCCCACTCTTTACCAATGATAAATGCCAATTGAATAATGTTGTTACTTCATGCTGTTTCATCCAAACCCCACCTTGATCTGTCCCTTGGTATTTTGCTGTGGAGCACACACTCGCAGCAGCCATTGTTAATGCATCACAAAACATGGAGAAACACAAACTGTAGAATGCCTAAAGCTTTCTCCAAGCTTTCCCAAATTCAGTATTTCACTTTTGAGTCAGCCAGGATAAGCCTAAAATGTACAATTAAAGTATTGATCACAACGGTAACACAAAGATATAGGCCACAACGGGTTTCCCAAAGTGACAAGTGCAGATTTTGATCAAGACTTTTATGGGGTGTATACAAAGTTCATCAATAACAACAAGAAGGAACGTTTCGGTCTAACATGTTGGCTCAGTAAACTCATCTGACAATCTGTAACAGAACTTTTATTAGCAGGTCGTGGTACGCTGCAGTGATCTACTTTCAATTTGATTTACTTCCACTTTGGCAGAATTGGGTTGTGTGCACATCTCTACTTGGGGACCTAACCTGAATCCAATTAAAGATTTTAGAGGGACCTCTAGTGCCACGCCAAGCAATCCCCAGCATCATGATCTTTCACTATAAATAACATCTGAGACTGTCAATGACCCGTCCTTGATGAGAATTTAAAAGTAAGTCACCACATTGGAGAGTTCAACAAGTCTTTCACTCAAGTTAACATTTTAAGAATTGTTGGTCAAATCAGTTTTCAAATACTGATGATTGACAGCTAAGAAAAGATTGTTAATATTTTTCCCTCTTTTTCTCTGTTTTCAATCACACATGAAATGGGATATTTCAAAGACACAAATGACTGATTTTTGCAAACAATATTAGAAATTCAGTTTATATAACAAACTTTGAATGTGTTAATCGGTAAAATTGTTGTTTGATTTATTGATACAGAAAATCATTTTTGGTTTGCAGCCCTAATCATGTGCTCTCTATATAATTATGTAATTGCATTATGACGTGATTACAGTATAGCTTTCTTGTAAGTTTTAAACCAAGAATGTGATTTAAAGTCATTTGATTTTTACGTCTTGATATTTGGAATATTGGTCTTAAATTATGATAATGTCAATATAGTCCTTGGGAAACATCCATGCAACATTTTCAATTGTCGCATGGCTCTAATATAAAGCTCAAATAATAAAAAGGAAAATCAACAATAAACGCTTTTTATAATAGAATCAAGGAAATAATATCCTGCAGACAATTTTACAATTTGATGCAACTTTGTACACTTCCCATATAGACCAAGACCATTTTTTGAGTGCTTTTACATTTGGCCTGTACCTCTGTGCTACCAGTCAATGCACAGTAACCTAAAGGAGAAAAGACAAATCTTAAGAGACACCGTTAATCACATTCAAACCATTCACAAGGAGAAGGGGGGCAGAAGAAAGAAAAATAGAAAGGGCTTACTTACAAAATTACTTAACTTTCTAAATATAAGGAAAACACATACTACGCCATTTAAGATACATGTATAAGTTACGTCTAAATCAAGGTAAAGAAAACTTATTCCAACATTGAAAGTTTATTGGTTTTAGTAAAAGAAAATGTTATACTAGTAGAGTTACTGTTACTGTTGCAATACATCATGTTAAATTCAAATGACAAACTATTCTGAGTTTCGCCCAATAGAGAATGAATGGGGGTTTGAGAGGAGAGCGGTAATATATGTTGTGGGTCAGCGGCCGCTGCGTCTTTGCTATGTAGGACAAACACAGATGAAACAACTGTGGCTTCAAGGCAGCGGGCGGGGTCTGACACACTGCTGGTGGGTCTGATTCCCAGAGAGCACATCCATGCTAAAAGTGTCGGCACAAGTCATAAACTCACATCACATTTATGATTAAATGGGCAAACTCCTCCGAGATTTGAATGGTCTGTCAGGAAATACGCTTTAAAACGGTTCCATTGTTCTAGTGATAACAATGGACCTCCAGCCCCTTTGAAGGACATGCACCTCCCCTTAGATACTCAAACTGCTCTCAATATGCCAGATGCATGTTGTGATAAAGTACTATCATTTTTGGAGCACCTACTTTCCTACAACCTGCCTACTTTTCCTCAGTTAGTGACTGCGAGGTAGAGACTTTTTGCATTTAATACAAGTACGAGGACTCTTTATCATAATTCAGATTTTACATTACTTGAAAATATGATAAATCCTGCAAACGTATTCAAAAAGCATCACTGAAGATTGACTGCCGGTTACACCAAACAATTAATTAAGTGTTTAGGAAATGTGTGCATAAAAAAAACGTTTTCTTATATTTAAAAGACAAAAATTGATTAAGAGATACATTCATTAAAATAAATGTAAGAAGCCCTATTTCAAGAATAATGAGCATACTATCTGACTTTGGAGTCAACACCACCTAAAACTAGAAAACAATCATACATCCTTAAACAAATGTGAACGCCTCAGTGAGCTTTTTGGATCAGACAGATCTTCCTTAGGGTTTTCCTAACATTTATCCAGTGCACAATAAGCTGTGTTGATATATACTTTGATGTAGTAATACATGTATTGTATCACCCCATGAGAATACTCAGTTTCCAATGTAGTAAGTACAGCGGACATTACGCCCTTGAGGATGACCATCTTTTTTTGTTAAATTTTACATTTGAATAATTTCTGATGAAGATATCATCAAGTCATAACCGATCTGTGTTTTAACCAATACTGTTCACTAAAGGCTTTTAATATATATATTCCTTCTTGCTCTAGCTATTTTATAGAGTAGATTTGTGTTTAGGGAACAGGCTAAGGTTGTCGCACAAGGTCATGAAGGACATTGCATCAGTACAAATCAGAACCTGTGATTCCCGAAACATTTTCCGAATTGAGCATATGACACAGAAAGATGAGAGGTTTTAAAGGTGCCATCTACCATTGTATCGAGTCAGCAGATTACATTCATGTCAGATTGCAAAAATGTGTAACCACATGAAGGTATCGCCATGATGCCCGTTTTAGAATGTCATGCATTTTACAGGAGAGCAGAGCATTAGGCATTAGACTGAGCTTTTCATTCCACCAGAAATGTCAAGTAAGATTTCTCATTTGATTGTACACTGTGGTGCCTTTGTAGGGTTTGTAACGTTTTATCCAACATGCTTTCGTGTTTGATTGTGCGCCTTCTCTACACATTAAAAGCCTGTTATGGCCTACAGTGTTTAAATTGAAGCTCTTTTCTCTTTGGGCCAGAATAGTTTGTCATGAGATTTAAGATGTAAGGTATGGAGAGGGGAGAGAAAAAACGGGATCAGCTTTTACCTCGGGGCCTCTGCTTCTCCGCATCATAGATCATGACCACCTCTGTGACCTTGAATAGGACAAAGGGAAAAAAATGGCTCCATTAAGAAAACCAGACCAGGTCCATTTTTACTTCAATTAAATATTCTGACTCAATTTGATCAAATAATTAATTTTCCGATTCCAGCATAAACTTTAATTTATTTTATAGTGTAGTATTGACCCTGTTCAATGTCACATCCATTCAAGCATTCTTAATGATATTATTAACTGCATTATGCACTTGGCAATACTCACCACTCCGAATCTATTGAAATAGTCCCTGAGTTCAGGCTCGCCGCAGTTATGGGGGATTCCACCTACAAATATCTTCTTTGATTTATTGCTATCGGCTTTGCTGCCCTTCTGAAAGAAAACAGTATGGATTTCAGTGTCTTTTAAAGGATCTCTCTGGGAAGGGGCCAGTTAACTTAGCCATCATCTATTCAGACAGTGCAGGAGAAAGGAGGTTCTCCTCTTGCCCTGGGGTGTAATTCTTAACATGTCATGTCAATGCAAACACTAGTCTCCACAGATCAGAGACCACATCTCCCTCCCCTTACTCTCAGCCACCAAGCATTGCTGCGCACTGCACTCAAGCTGCAACGGCTAGAGGCTGCGTACGACAATGACTTTTAACAATTACATCGTCTGCTTTGTTCGCAAAACATTAAGAGGCAGCTACTCAGTAAAAGGAGGTCCAGCAGGAGCGAAAGAGCCACATTTATAAAAAGCTTTTGACTTACAATCTATGCTTACAGCCAAATATATGACGTATAAAAAGGTTTTATAAACAGGAAAGGTGCAGTTGGTAAAAGCTTTTACGTCCAAAAGGACAAAATGCCTATAATAAATCTGCAGAGGCATGTTGATCGACCCACAAATTACCCACATTGCTGCAGAGATTTCTGCCATTCAAAAATGCACTGCTGACAGCAATTCTCTGAACCACACAAGCCTACTCGTCTCTAGTTTTACTTGTGGTATTTCAGTTTTATTCAATGAGGAGGACAGATAATAACAACACATTCCAGAGAAGTAACATAAAACTGTACTGCATTCAAAAAAAGGAGGCAAATGTGTCATTTGAAATTCAAACATTTCGCATGGTGATACAGGCCTATGACCTCTTCATTTTCTGTCTCATCTGGGAAAATGTGACCTTATCATGTGTCAATCCCAGGGCGTTGTGAACTGTACCAATTATCTCTTGATATAGTCGCAGTCCCTCGATCAAAAAAGAGGTTGAGGTTCATATACTCTTTAATGCTTCTGTGATTTAGCAAAACCCAAATCTAATTTCTAGCATTCTCAAAGGTTTGAAGGCTTTGCACTGTAATCTTTTTCTTCTTTTTTGTTGAAATGGCTCTCTACAGAGAATGTAGGTCAAAGTCAGACTAGTTTTATAGATGAAGTTCAAGGTCTCCTCGTGGCCTATGAAAGGAGTCTAACCTCAGGAGGAGAGGATGGAGACACTGACGGCCTGAGTCTTATTCCAGCAGAAACACCTAACATGACCCAGCAGACATTGTTCTCTTACCCAGCCCTCCTTGGTTCGAGTCTTTTCAGGTTGCATTCCTCTGGGAGTACATGGCTTCGGGTCAATCTGACAGCAGAGAGAGAGGAAGCGTTTGACATTAGCTCCAAATAAAGGCACCTTCAAATGTTCACCTTCACTGAATCCATTACAGTATATTGACTCGCCTAATAAATGTCCTGACATTCATTTGAATATGCGGCCATAAAATGTTATGCTCTTCTTTTCCTCCTTCAACAGAACAAATGTGTGGCACTATGTCATTCATGGGGAGCTGACTGCATTGATGTTAATGCAAAAGCGAAGGCAACAACGGCTTCTCAGATAAAACTACGTTCACTGCCAATTGTGCTAATTCGACACAAAACAGGTAAATCCTGTTGGGAAAAAAAACTTCCAAATTTGAATTGAAGTGAAGTGAATTTGTGCTAATGTCTGCAGGCAAGTACAAATGCTTAGAACAAGTGCTTCTCCTTGAATAACTTCTAACTACTCTGTATTGTGAAATCCAGTATGAGGTTTTTCATATTGTTCACACAAAGCACAGGCTGATTACTCAGGTTGATTTGATTATGTGCTCCTTTGATTTAAAATACTTACATTTCTTCCATCAAGATTATGCGGCTTTGTCTCCAGCACTGTCCGTACACAATTGGGGTCTTTGAATTTGACAAAGCCGAAGCCTCGCGACTGATTTGTAGCTTTGTCCTTCATGATGACACAATCTACTACTTCCCCATACTGTGAGAAGTAGTTTCTAAGTGTCTCTGAGAAGAGAAATAAATTAATTACACAACAGTATTGCTTCATTATATTAAGCATAAAAACATACAACAACTCAGCATAGGTGGTTTTATACATTTGAGATATATAAGCCCAGTTTCTATCCTGGACACAAAGAAGTGTGCTCATGATTTATAGAGCTGATGCTTTCCTTTTGATAAATGATACTAGGGAAATATGAACAGCAGCTCAACCTGCGCTAAAACAGGTGTTGGGGAAAACACACAAGCACCACTTCATGAAATGACACAATCCTCAAGTGACCTTGATTATATTTAATGGTAGTATTGGGAATGTTACCTTTTTCTAATGTGAAAACATAAAAACAACAATGCAGAAATATTCAAGCGACATATTGATGTTCAAGAGCAAACAAGGCACTGGCAAACTCATGTTGAATAGCACTAAATATACACCCAACTACTGTGACTCCCGCACACACCCACAGCAAGGCCTGCAAGTTTGAACAAATGAGAAGCCACTTTTGAGAGTAATCGTAATCACTTTTCTCATTGCTGGGAAGCCCTGGGGCATCGCCAGGGAAACAAGCTCAGGGTTACGCAGCGCTGTGGTTCAGATCCTAATGTTTACAGTGCTGTTAACACGGACAAAGCCTTGCTCAAAGTCACACAATGGCTAACCAAGCATGAGCCAATAAGGGGCTTAAGACAAACTAGACCATCTCTGGGCAGTCTGGGAGGGGAATGCACACGCTGACCCAATGGAGACTGTCTGATGTACACTTCACTGACAGTGTTTGCAAATGATCACCAATAATAACACAAAATAAAGAAAATCTCAATGCCATATTTTAAACACAGGAAAACTTAATGGCATTTGGATGTAGTTACTGTAACAGTGTGACATTAGAAATAACATAATATGAACAAAAATAAATAAGGCAACACTTGATCAAAGAATAAATAAGTACGAACATTTATCTGTATGATCATCAAAGAGGCCAATCACCATACACCCTTATTTCAATCATTGTACAAATAACCTGCCATGTGCTAAATACCATACACTCATGAATACTGTCATGGAGGAGAAGGTACAACACTTTGTATGTTTTTTTAAATATTTGTATGTTTATAATTGTACCTAGGTCTCACATGTATTTACTAGCTAAATATGATCTGGTAATCCATAATGGCTTTCTTCACCACGCTACCAACCAGATCCTCCAGTCTGCAAGCAAATCCATGCAACCAATTCAGTGTTACACAAAATCCTGTTAACCAAAAGTACAGTAAGCATAAAGGGTCTGAGCTTCAACTTGACTTACCTTGTGTGGTACTCCAGTCCAAGCCACCCACAAAAAGTTTACTGTAAAGAGTAGATACAAAAATATTAAGTCAGTCAGGGGTTATAAATTACATTTAGAATAAATGCACTGTTATACAAGTCACATACAAAAGGAATAACAAGCATTGAGACAGTTTGCATGCACAGAAGCATTAAAATACTAACTACACAGAGAGAGAAGAGTGACAGCACAGTTTAGGAGCCATAACGACGCTACAGCTGACTGAACAGATAAGTACACAGATATTACACAACATGAGGCAACGCTGCCACCAAAGCTGCTGCAGCTATACGCTCAGCCTCAGTTTAAAGGTCCGCGTTGAATGTGACTCATGTTGAGGTACAGTGCTGCTCGTGGATGTTACTTTGCTCTTCTGACACACACTGCATTAGCGTCGACAATAACAGTCTTTTTATGAATATCCTGCCACGTAAGTTACCCCGGGACAGAGCCGTAGCAAACACAGCACTCAGCTGACAAACTGGCTCCAGAGGATGCAGCAGCCTTCAGCGCTGAAGCCCCGAGCACAGTGCAGTCAGAGCCGACACAGCGGAGCGGCTGCCCGGCTCCCTGCCTGCGGTCCGCGGAGCTCGGATGCTGATTGTAAAACTGCAAGTTTAAGCCGCACTAATATCAAACTAGGTGGTCAGCTCATGACTGGTAGAGATCAGTGCTGAAACACACCAGCGGTGATGAAGCAGCAGTGGTCAAAGTGTAGGGTCGGGTGCAGGATGCTCCATCCTCCAGCCGTGCCCGCTAAATGTCCTCACGCTGGCCAAGTCGAGAAGAGGAGACTTTCGCTTCGCTGGCGTTAGCTAAGCTAGCTCCGGTGCTAACTCGAAACAACACTGGAATAAGTAACTACACTTTCACACTTCACCTTGACAAGCTAAGTGGCAACACTCCAGATAAACGTGGTGTATTTCGTCTTAAGAAATAACAGTTACAACTGAGCTTATTTGATGACTACTTTCACTTTTTAGCCCTCTTTCCCCGGGCTAGCGATCCCACTGAGTTACTACAGCTAGCTTAGCCTGGTAGCTAACGTTAGCTGTCAGATGACAGCTTGACAAGAGAGCACGCTAATTATAAGTTATAACGTAGTTTACAGTGTCATGCGTCTGCAGCAGAAGGCGTTGTTAAATGTATCTTACCCGACTTCATCTCCGACTAAGTTGTTGTTCATTTCTGTGGCTTGCGTGGGGGACTGTAGGAGCTGTTACCGGCTTATTGCTTCAGTGCTGCCCCTCTCAGACTCACTGAGAGCGGAGGAAGGTCACTCCGCTTTTTGGTTCAAACTGCTCTGCGCAGTGACGACGCTGCAGGGGGCAGCGGCCTTTAAAGGAACATTACACCCAACCAGCACACACTCTCTTTACTATTTATAACTGTACCAGGGGTACCTTACATCAGGAGGTTTTGTTATCAGGACATTGCTTTTACGAGGAAAACCCTGCAAAGAAACATCCCTCACAACAAAAAATGAAAATTAGAAATTGCTGTCAAGACATCAGAATCAGAATACCTTTATTAATCCCACAGAGGGGAAATGTACATTATTACAGCAGAAAAGAGCCAAAGACAGCTTAATGTTACCTAAGCATGCATAAAAAAGTAATAAAGATTAAAAAAGAAATTATAATAAAAAAAGTTACACATTTTACAAAAATACACACCCTGTAACAGTTCTGAGGATTTAGCAGCCATGGTATATATTGCACAGTTTTTAACGGCATATATATTGCACGTATTGCACATTGGTATCAACAAGAGGTGTTATAGTCTGTGTTGTGTGTGGGGGGGGTCTACTAGGGGCCGTGCTGGTTATATAGTCTGACCGCTGCAGGAAGGAAGGACCTGAGGTATCTCTCCGTGAGAATATAAAGACTAAAGTATGATCTGATTCATATGCTCAAGTGAAGGTGGGATATAAGAATAGTTAATGAGCCAACCCATATCGATATATTCTTCCTGTTTAGAGCTAGGTCAGGACTTTTTTCAAGCGGGCCTGTCAAAGGGGGCAGCATTTATGTTGTAACATCAAAACTAAAGTACAGACAGTTGTTACACACTACAAGTGAGCACAATAGCCATATAAAATAAAAAATAAAATGCATAATGCATAAACAGGTAATATTTTTTAAACATTTAAAAGCAATCACAATGACCAAGATTGTTATTTTATTGATCCTCTAAAGATGATTTAATTGTCCCCCATGTTTTTGAAATCATTCCACATTGTTTTACAAGCTCAGTTTGAACATGTGGTACGACTCAACATAAAACATTTGTATCCCAATATATTTGTATGTCTGGCCCATTGCCTATAAAACAAAGATCCTAATTTGCATCCCATCATATAAGCTCAAAGGGTCTCCTTTATTTACAGGAACGTGCACATTTAAAAAAATTATCTTTTTGATCAGGTCACCCAGCTATTACTGTTGCAGATCTGAGCTGATCAAAAGTGATGAGCAATAAACAGTGATATTTAAATCATGTCATGCACCTTTAACTGACACAAAATGAGGTGTGCTTAAATAACACCTTTCAGATGCATTTAATAAGAAGTCTGTACATGATAACATAAGCGTCTTCACACTGAGTGCACAATAGTGTAAAACTGTGGTAATGTTATACCCCTCAAGATATTAGTATCTCTCTCTAATATTAATCAAACCCTACTTTTTTCACATCTCCACTCTCTGTCACGTTTCTGTATTACAGGCAATTCCCAATAAATCTGGCATTAACTAGTTTATATCAACATGTATGTAAGTAACATGTACTTAGGTAACTTGTTTCGGTATTTGTACTTTCATCATATACCATTTTAAACTCTATATTCAAGAGGAAAATGTTTGACCATTTCACAGCTAGTGAATTGTATTTTTATTTTCGATATTTCTAATACATTCTGTTGCAAGTACTTTGTACTTGGGCTTAGAAAATAACCAAATTCAGGAAGCTTATGGTAGTATTTTTATAATGCAATATTGCTACTTTTACTTTAGTCAATTTTATACATTTTAAACCACTGAAAACGCACTGCCCATTATGGTTTTATAAAATCCTTTTTACTTAGCCTTTATTAATATTCTCTTTACCATTTGAGACCCTTTTACTTTTTGCTTCTCCAATGAAACTGTTTTCCATTAGTAAGAGTGTTATCACCAATCAACCAAATACTCATCTCTTACAAACACAAATGACTGAATTTAATTGTCACATTAAAGTTTCTTATCTATTCAAATGTGCATACAAAGAGGAAGGCTTTGGATTTCAGGGTAAAACTGTGTCTGAAAACATATTGGTGAAAGCCCTCTGCAACATATGTCAATTTTAAATTATAAACACTAACCTAAGGTTACTAAACCTGAAGGTTTAGCAATAAATGTATTCAAAATGCGTCAGATGTATTAGAGATATGTTGTGTCAGATGGAAAATAACCTATACCTATAGCCTATACGGTCGCTAAGAAGGGGGACTATTCTAATAGACTCATATATCAGGAATTATGGCAAAATTAATGTGTGTACTATTTTATTCATCATGCAATTATTGTATATGACTGATTAACAATAAAAATAGAAGTACTTCGCTATCCATTCTGGAGTATTCCCTAAGCTTTGCAAAGCTCCCATAGGGACTATAAATGTCAGAATGAGATTCACCCTCACGTTCAGTGTTCTTGTTTCTCTTCATCTCTTTCAGAGGACAAAATGAGGTCATACCTCAGTGTGTCAAGATAATAGCAGACTCCCTCCACTGGGACTGGAGTCAATCAAGACATGTTTTTTTGGGAGGAGGGGGATGTAAATGACATTGTTCATGGGGAAAATATACTGATTCTGTATCTCAAAAGAGACCTCAAATGGGTAGCTACTATATTGTTAGTGAGTCAAAATAGAGCAGGAGGTGAAAGCATGATGATGTGATTACCAAAAGTCCTCTTGATTGTAGGTATTGTTGTGTGTAAACTCATTCTATGTTGTTTATAATTGACATTATACAATATCAAACATAGATTATAGCAATGTATGTATTGTACAAGGCTTGAAAGAAAATGTTTATCTGACGTTTTATACAGGTTAATTGAAAAATATGCTCAGTAAGTGACACAATACTCTCTTAACAAACGATACAAATACAGGGCACATTGCACCAAGCAGTACATTACAGACCATGTCAGCAGCAACTGCATGTTATACATACAAGAACTGGATATTTGCATACAAAGCTAAATCTATCAAATGCAGAGTCAGTGGTTATGCGTTTAATAGCTTTTAGAGCACTTTTCAATTTGGCTTTAAAGCTACCAATAAAGCTATAACTCTTTATATCACAGTGAAGCATGTCTCATGGGACAGAGATACATTGTTTTGTTACTATACAGGTTTGGGGAACATATTATTTTATTTGTTAATATTACAATCCATTTTGTAATAAATATCTATTAATAATAATAAGTAAACTTACTGCCTGATTTTTCTTTTTGTTTTCATTAGCGCTATTTTTACTCTTTTTTAATAAAATGCAGTAGACGGATTCATTAAATTAAAAAACGATGTTTGCTTTAACTAAATGTAATGTTACAGACAGCATTTGGCTGCTCCAGGCTTCTTTTGTCAGAAAAGTAAGGAAATAATAGAAGAATTCGAAATGTACTCAGTTAGATTCCTCCACTGCTTAAATCCACAGACTGCTAGTCATAAATCATTGTTCAAGCTTGAAATACAAAACAGCACCCTCTTCCTGTTACAAGTGGCACATCAGACCTTCAAATCTGACCTCATGGTACCACATCCACTGGAAGGATAGGCTAGGGGTGCCCCGACTGGTCGATCGCGGGTAGATTCCCAGTCGATCGCGAGATGTGTCTAAAAATAGAACAGCAATATTCTGTTTTATCGTTAATGACCTTTATATATACAGTCTATGTTAATGACCTATAACATAATCTTCCTGTGCCAGAATAATGCACTTGAACCATAGACTCGCATCAAAGCTTTTTGATTGGCGTGACCTATACATCCATGGCGTGACCCCATGTGTCGGGGCGTGGCTAGTAGGCACTAGTTTGCTGACGTTGTCCGTGTCAACAGGAGTGAGTGCCTACTAGCCACGCCCCGACACATGGGGTCACGCCATGGATGTATAGGTCACGCCAATCAAANAGACGAAGGTAAGCCATGTTAGCATTGTGTAGCTACCTAGCGCCACTTGTTTTGATTTACGTTTTTGTTGATAACGTTGCGAGTTTGTATCTTTCAGTGTTGAGGTGCGCACCGTTAGATTCTGTGTCTTTACGATCATAAACGATGTGTTGGATGTGCAGCTGGGATAATTCACTATAAATAATGTTTTTTTTAGGCGGACATTATAATTTACATGTTTTTACTATGTTCCATCTGAATTTACTTTAAAATAAAAACATATATATTGATTCTGACACTTCTTCATCCAACTCACAGATGTAACCTTGCTTTGAGAGAAAACATTATTAATTTACCCCTTTTTAGAAGTGACGAGAGAGAGAAAAAAAAAAGAAAAAAATCCGCGGTGCTCGGCCTCGCCTCCTGTCCTCACAACTCTTATTAATCCCGGTACTGGACAATTGTTATTTGTTCCTACTCGGAACCGAGTTTGAACCCTGCCACTGTGCTACACTTCCCGCCCCACCCCG